AACATCTCAGAATCGCAGCTTTTCTGCTTCCGAGCATTTCTGCCATCAAAACTTCCCCGTGCCTGTACTTGAGTACTGTGCATGCCTTGACCTGAATTTAAAATTTTTAATTTGCACGCTGACAGATAAAATCTTCCCAAAATTTCAGCTTCCTAGCCTGCATAGCTGTTGAACCAGCAATTTCCTGTCAAAAATTTCCCCTGTCCCTTCGTGAAACTTAGGCATGCGTGAAAGCTGGTACCACGTCCCTGGAATAGCGCTTAGCCAGAAAACCCACACGTACAAAAATCTTGCATTAAGGCCTGTCTAGATGCCGAGTCGAAACATATACACACGCACACCAAATGTCATCGCAACATGTGTGTTTTTGCACTTGCATAAATATGCAAGAACACATGATGAATACATAACTTAGAATGTTAAGCAGCACCGATTATTTCGAACAGCGTCGTGCAATATAGCCCGAATCCATCACAAACGCAAAAAGAGAAAAACATACAAGTATGTCATTTAATACACTGCAACATCTCTCATAAAATTATGATTCCTTTTAACGTCAAAAACACATGCACACATGCGTGCACTTACATACACATACATATGCACATACATACATACATACATACATACATACATACATACACACATAGTTCGTTCATAACAAAACGTGGACTATAAAAGTTGCACAAAGTGTTTTCGCCAAACCAAAAATTTAGTGGAAAAACATAGTTGAGTCACTGCCCACATTTGCCCTGTTAGAAAATAAATTTCTTCCACTAGATATAACGTGTTTGTTGGCTTTTTGTATCACCTAGCTAGAAAACTACGTAGAGATGGGACATTAGACTCTGAAGAATTATTTTTGCCTTCAGTTCGTGACCTAAAGCAAACCATTGCAGTTTTACATGCATCTCACTGGTAAAGGTGGCCCGCTCTCCTGCTTTCCATAAATTTGAATACCTCAGGTAAAAATCCAACTCGGCTCTTTTAAAGAAACAATGAACGGGTTCGACGGACGCAAAAACGTCATACGCTACTCGCTTTCAAAGAGCCCAAACTGAAAATCTCTATTTTGTACATAGTAGTTTTGTATTTCATCGAACTAATGCGGCGCGATAGTGGCTTTCTCGTTTTCGAGTTCACTCGGGTTGCAGTTGTTTCTAATGTCATCGAGATATGCAACGTCTTCGCTGACGTTCTCTGGAATTTTCTTCGCTTGCTCGTCTTACCATGACGATAATTCCATGCAGCGACCAATTTTGCCGACGATATGGGACTCAACGATAAAACGCGGTCACCTGCGGACGTAGGGTAATGTGTATCTTCCTGATACAGCGCAGCTGTCATCGTTAACGACGAGTCAGTTTACTCCCCGAATGAGTAAACAGGACAGTCGAGAAAACAAGCTAGTACAACTGACGTGGCCGGAACGCGATCACGATTCACCGAAATTTGTCCAAACGCGGCTGAACCGGCGAAGATAAAACAAGCGACAAGCAACAATCAAAAGCTACCGCCTTCAAAATGCAAGGGGCGAGAGACTTGACGATTCCATTTCTACCTTTCAGCATTAATTTTGCACTTCCGCTGGTCGTATTTCGGATAGAATTGACCAGATGAAAGAACCTAGGAGTCTGTCTACCCTCTCCCATAAACTGATGTACAACAGAAACAGGACTGAAACCGTGCAATACTTATTG